TGCGCATTAGTGCGGAAGTAAAATTACAGTATCATTGCAGACTTGTTGAAATAATGTGTTTTCATTGGACTTGGCCTGATTTTAACAAAGAACTTCACATTTTAACATCAACACAACTTCCAGCTAAATTTCAGTATTACAGCTGTTTCATGCATAAATCTGATAATTCCTCATTCCTCAAGGATTACAACTTCCAGGAAAGGTTAAAAAAAAACTTGAAAGTGATTAAACTTACATCAGCGGCTTTGCTTGTAACCAAATTGAGTATATGCAGATGGAGGTGAACACCCACCATGACCCAATTTAACAGAACCATGAAAGGCACAAGGGTCAGTACTTGTCGGCATTCATGTGGAAAATCTTGCAAAATCCTTTTTCTTTCAATTTGAAAGGAAAATAAAGCACCAAGGAGTGAAAAATGTGTTCTTAATAACATGCACACTGAGTCCACAGCAGCACCCTGAAAATAAAGTTTGAAATTCTACTCAATGTTTGGACACTAGGAGCACCCGGCACAGAGGAATGAAAGGCTTTAATTTATCAGTATGTTTCCTTGCATGAACGAGAACATCTACTGAAGCAGGACAGTTATTCTTCTCTGAAGAGACCTCTAATTCTTTTGCTTAATTGCATTGAGGGATTCTTTTGTTCCTTTTTATCTGCCAGCTTTTTTTCTTCCATTCACCAATGACTTCCTAACAGACACCACACAGTTTCTAAGGCTGGGCAATTTACCTCAATAAAGCTAATTAATTTGAGGAAACAAATGGCTGTGTAGAAAGTTGCAGTAGTTGCAAGAATAAACCTATTTTATTAACATGAGACTAAAGTTTGAGTGATGTTTTCACAATAAGATACAACTGAAACTAATTAGCATGCATTATAATGAATGTTAACGCTAAACTTGTATCTTAGATTATTTTGAATCTATGTATTGTCAGTTCAATCAGGAGAGACGTGATGTATGGAATACATGTTTATTATCGGGTCACATTATATAAATGAAACATAATGATGACAGATTATAACAGTGAATAAAATGCTGTTTGGCGATTAGGCCCAGGTTTTGTATGATATCATTCGGGAAGGGAAAGAACCGTTTCCGATGAACCCCCCTGGGTCTAGACACTGGTGGTGGTGATAAGTGGTTAGGTCCGGTTGGAAGGGAGAAGGTTAAGCTTGGCCTTGAGTTGGAAACA